CCAATCATGCCTGATGACGAATTCTATGGCATAAGCGTCAATGGCATAGTTGAGGAATATGGATAATGTGTAGACCGAAGATGTTGAAACCTTCGCGTCCTTCATAGTTTTCACTCTTTTCCTTCTTCACCTTTGCCGCACGTCGTGTAATGGATGTTTTCACATAATTCTTATTTTGAGTACTTCCTTTAGGAACCCATGCCATGTTTCTTTCTTCAAGTTTTTGTGCACTAATTTTTTGTAATTTCTTCTTTTGCCAATATGATAAGTCGAGTGGGCATCTCGGCTGTGATTCTGTTTTGACCAATGGCAATTCCTTTTCGGCCTTTTGCATTCTCCACTTCTCTTCTTCAGATTTGGCACTCTGATTTTTATCAATTGATTGCTTCACTTCTTTGCCTTTTGTAGCCAATGTCAACACTTTAATTGGCTCTTTGTTACTTGAGATCAAATCTGAAGCAGCACACTTACGACCATCTCTTTTCACGCGGTAAACTTGCTTTACCACCTCTTTCTTCTTTCTTGAGCTCTGGACCGATTCCTTATGATTGAAACGGTCTTTGACGCGTGATTGTTCAAATGTTGATCTCCTTGGAGCTGCATAGTATTGGTGAGATGGTCTAAAATAAGATGGAGAATGTGCCCTTGTATTATACCTGTCCCATGATGAATATGTATCTATATGAGCATAGGGAGGTATCCACAACATTGGCATTGGTGGCCCAAAATAAGGATATGAATATGTTTCATTAAAATTATCACTTTGCCAATATCGATCCTCATATTTGCGCCTTGGGGGTGACCTTGATTTCTTTGCATGATTTGGCTGATAAACATTCTTCTCTTCACTCTTCTTTTGATATTTATCCAATAGTTCAGCGAAGGTGATTTTTGATCTCTTGCACTTGCGCTTATTTTGGCCTTTGTTTTCTTTTGGTTTGCTTTCATCGATCATTGGATTTGCTTGCTGCCCCCCAGTCCTTGGCATCTCCATTGTTGCTTCGATGGAATTCTTACCCTCAAGATTATGTTCATTATGCTCTTCAACAACTTCTTTACTTGAAAGCTTGATCCCATCACCTGTAGTTTTTACCTTCTCTTCAAATGAATCGGCTTGAAGCAGCCGATGCAAAAACTTTCTGCCATCGGGACCAATCGGAATAGACTGGTCATCTCTGGGTGTCTCAAGAAATTTCAATCATCCTTTATCAATGGCCGATTTAACTATTTGACGAAACATGTTGCAATCCTCAAAATTATGCTTGGACGAATCATGCAACTTACAATACATTCGTCCTTGGATAGATGGTTCAACATGGTGATCAAGAATTTTAATATAATTATTTTGCAACAACAAATCAAATATTTGATCACACATGCTTGAATTGAAGGTAAACTTTTCATTCTCTTGCCGATCTTGTTGTGAAAACGGCTTTGGAGTTAAGCAAAGGAATGGTTCAGATTTTGCATCACACCATTCGGCTATGCATTGTGTTTTGTACTCTATCACCGATGTCTTTGGGTAAGATATTATACTAGCATCAGTTTTCTCAACAAAATTTAACCTTGGCTTTAAATTTCTGAAATAAAAATAGTTAGAACATACATGTCTCAATTGAGACCAAGTGCAAGCCAAGTACGAAATAAGCAAAGCTACCCAAATAGATATGAACTTTAGATAAAGCAACGGGGAAAGCTTCGGCTGCAATAATAAGTCATTATCGGTCTTTATAAATGGCACAATTGGTTGACCGATATGTTCTAAAACAATTTTATCGCTAACAAGTAAATTACCTTTCTTCATTGGTCTTTTAAAATTACCTATGAGGATTTTTCTAATAGATGCATCAACAATAAAGTTGTGACCAAATCTGAAAATAGGTAAATTACTCGCTATGCATACCTCTTCAAATACGTTGGGAGAGCATGATGGTGGTGTGACTTGAACAATATCTAGCTTCATCTTTGGATGACTCTCCAACGCCTTTTTATCATCTTTTTCTTTATTCCGTGCATCATTACACTGAAGATTTTTGTCGACCGAACTTTGTTCGGCTACTTGTTCTTGTCCTTGAAGCTTGTCAATTTCTACGGCACGGAACTCATAAGGCAGGAAGTAGGTTTCATTAACCTCAGAAAAATCAAGCACCGTTGTTTTCCTATGCTTACCATGCCATTTCTCAATAATGCTTGCCTCATTGAATTTGATGGATTCAGAATATAAACTACTTGATTCGGCTTTTTCAACCGAAGCACTTTTATGTTCCGAATCATCCTTCTTTTCATTGATACTACCAATTGACAATGCTTCTTTTATCTGAGCCAATTTTTTTTCTATTTGTTTCTGACGGCGAGCGGCAAAATTAGCTTTAAGCTTTTTCTCAATTTCAGCCCACTCCGGATATGATTGCCCCCGAATGCTTTTATATTCTTTCGGCAATGATACACGGGTGTTGCTGAAATTTTGCAATTGTGTAGGGGGTGTATAATATGATGTAGTACTAGGTGAAGGCATATGCATTGTTGTAAGACCATATTTTTGCTCGCCAATTTTATCAATTGGCAAAGATTCATCTTCTTGCAAAACTTTAGCTTTTATTGCGGCATAATCAGGAAATAGCCCCTTTTCATGTTGTTCAAGGCAAAGAGCACTAATTCTCTTATTTTGGGCTAAACTCTTCAATGCAGCCATCACTACCTCATCTTCTACAATATTGGGCACAACCGTTCCTGTAAAATTTACATTCATTTGGCTATAACCAAGAAGGTGTGAAGCCGAATTATGAGCATCTACAATTGTGTATGGTGCCGAAGAATTACCAACATGAGGTGTAGCATATGACGGTTGAGAGTAACTGGTCAAATAGCCACTAGTAGCATGGCTAATTCTCTCATTCATCGGCATGGTTGGATTACTATATTGCACATTAGCTGCCGATGAATAAAAGGGTGAAACACTTTCTTGTATGGCATTGGAAATTCTAACTTGGGGTGTTTCAAATTGATTAATCGAACTCATCATGTTGCTCATCGACATATGAATTTGCTGGGTTGCCGATGCATGTGAGTTGGGATACATATGATGCATGTTACTAATATCATCAGAAGTTGAAGTATATAAATTACTTTGAATCGGCCCTTGCACGTAGTTAGTTCCATGTTGAAAAAACTGGGATTGGCCGATAGAGTATACTCATTGAACGATCTAGTAACACCATATGAATTATTTGTATCTACATAAAGGGATTGGGTATTCATATTATCTTCGTAGACAGCAAACCCTAGATGACGATCTCTTCGTAGCAAGAACGGTCCGGAGACCGTTCGAAGCTTCTTCCCCAACGGAGTCGCCAAAAAATGTGTTCGCACACGAACACGTCCCCGTGTACCTCCAACACCGAGGGTGATGCACCGCAGCTCACATCGAAGGAGACCCGTACGGAAGCGCGGTACGCAAGCAATTCGGCAGGTGCTTTTCAGGACCCGAAACCCAACACGACCGGGAGGACCCCGTCAGGGCGCGCGGTGGCTATGGGCTGCCCTAGGTCGACCTGATCGCCCCTAGGGCCTCGAGGTTCGCCGCCCTGCAATGAAGAAGAACGAACGAAGAACGAGAAAGAAGAAGAGCTAGGGTTAAGGAAAAAAGATAAAAGATAAATGATAAAAAAATGGTAGATGAATTGATCGATTGTGTGTTGTTCAATCGGCCGTCACCCCTAAGGTATATAAAAGGCGGCTGGACTTCCCGTGCAAGGAAAAGTCTTGGATTCACGTCAAACCTTAGTCAAATAACTTATATTTAAAGTACTATTAAGCCCCCAAGACGACCTCAAATGAAAAAAGGTCAATAACTTATTTAAGATGGCCTTAAATGAAGATGTGATCTTCATGAAAGAGTTCCGTATTGTTGATATAAACATCTTTGAAGTTTGGGTCATCACCGTCCGATTTCATCTCGAAGCCCATCTTAAATAAGTTATTGACCGTGCCAAAATCTGATGTCAACAGTCATCGGCGACGGCATGGCCGTCAACGGGCGGCCAAATGAACACAATTAGGCAATTGCAATTGACACGCGACCGCCGATTTTACATCTCCCGTAAATGGATATTTGCATCCCCAGGTGTTGTGTTTTATATCCTCCATCATGGAGATCTTAGCCATTGAGTGCCAACATGAGATCTATTTGTTAGCTTTGAACCGTAAAGATGTAGAAAGGTTTGCATCCTCCATCATGGAGATGTAAAGATGTAAGAAGGTTTGCATCTACATTATCAGTTGGGTTTTATCTGTTGAAGATGGGTTATGTATCGTCATTATCTGTTGGAGATTGGAGATAGGTGGGTTTTACATTATCTGTTGAAGATGGGTTTTGGACCTCTTGAAGATGTTTTATGCATCTACATTATCGGGTTATGCACCTATACATTTTTTTTACATTTTTTTTGAACACTGTTATGCATCTATACATTATCTATCGGAGATGGGTTTTACATTAGTTTTACATTATCTGTTGTGATGGGTTTTTGGTTTTTGGAGATGTACATGTTAGTTAGTTCTACATTATCCGTTGAAGATAGATTTTTGGGCCTGAAGAGGCACTGCATGTTCAGGTTTAACCACCGGAAACAAAAATTGCATAACTCTGCTACAACATAGTGTGCCCTTGCTCATGCAGGCTTCTCAGACACAACATTGCATCTCCCGGCAGAACATTACTCCGGCAACTCTTATCCTCATCTAGACATCCATGTGGTCATAGAGGATTCGAGGTCTCAAACTCGTGAGCATAGTGCCACGAATAGAACATATAGAACAAAAGGAGCAAACATTACAGCAGAAATTCTAACGAAATTCGGACTTGCTTGGTTCCAGGGCTAGCTAGCAGATGGGACAGAGTGCACAAACTGTCAAAGGTACATGGAGAAATTAAGGGAAATACAGTACCACATTTCAAGAGTTGCTCCAAATTTCATAGCCCTAGCCCCACGTTCCGCCGCTTAGAATATGCCGGAGAGCATGGTCGCCGCGCTCGACAGTGCGGCTCCGGTGATGGCGAAATGGACGACGTGGTCGGAGTGCCCGTTGTCCCCGGTCAGCGCGACTGCCGCTCCCGCAATCGCCCCTGCTATCGCGCTGTTCTTCTGCAGCAGCAGCAGCATCAGGTCAACAAACACAAGTTAGTTAAGCAGCCAGTTAATTCTGAACCTAGCTGATCTGAAACAGCAAGTAGAAAATTAGTCTGGAGATCGAGAAACCAACCCAGTCATGGTGTCCTCTTGCCTCTCTCAGACCGTACGTTATCCCAGAGTAGACTCCGGCTGCCAATCCTGCCATAAGAACAATACATATTACAAGCTGTGCTAAAATGATTTTTGAGCTACAATAATTAGTTAACGCTGAAATGAATACTGACCCCACTGGATGGCCTCCTTGCTTGCCGATTTAACCTGCAAACCAAGGTGCGAGCTAGTGGTCAGAGGGAGAAGAACTAGCTGTCGAAACAGATGATTTGAGCCTCGCTTACCACTGCGTCGAGCGACTTCTGGCCGTCATCCCCTGTGGAGAGTCGAGTTCATCAGCTCGGGCTTAACGAAAACAGAGAGAAAAGAGGTAGTACTGTCCAGGAAAGAGGTATCACCTCTGGCGCTGGAGAAATGGCTCCTCTTGGCGGTGCTGTCCAGCCCCGTCGAGTCTCCCCACATCCCTTCGACTGCGACGAAGTAGGCCTCCCGCGACACCGCCCTCGCCGCTCCGACCTGCCATCATACCAGCCCGGAGCAGTCAGATCAGTTATCGCACGGCGGAGCAGGAGAGAAACGATGGAGCAGAGCACGCGTGCACGGTGGGTGGAGATCAAAAAAAGGGCGCGTACTCCGGCGGCGCGGATGAAGCTGTCGGCGACGCGGTTGAGGAGCGGGTGGCCGAGGTCGAGGAGCGGGCGGCGGTCCATGCTCGCCACCTCGTCCTTGAGCGTGTGCGCGTCAAGCCTGCTGCCCATCTCCTCCTCGCAGCTGGTCTTCTCTCTTCTCTTTGCTCGCTTGCTGTGGACTGCGTGCTGGACTGGCGATACGATAGAGAAGTGCCGAGCGGTGGAGCCGAGGGCCTCGGTTTTATGAACGGAGCGGGGGAGGCGCGCGTGGGTACACGTGTGGGGTGCCGCGCGGCAACGTGTCCGTGCCGCTCCTCGTGGCGGGCTGTGCGCGCCCATGGCGCAGGCGGCAGAGTGTTCCTGAAGGTTCTCCATGCGCTTGGAGGTTGAGGGGCGCGTGGCAGGACAACGTTGGGCCGAGCAGAGGGGGTCACCACACCAAGGGACCTCCGAGGCAAACTACGAGGCATCCTGTTTGGCGTCGACCAGTGCTGTGCAGCGACGCCTGAAGTGAGTGTCAGTGGGCAAGCCGAATTCTCGCGAGAGGCTTTCTTCGTGTCACATTTTATTTTGTTTATTCTAACGTTTTCCTAAAAATGTTTCAAATTTCCAAAAAACCCTGGGATCATTAAAAGATGTTTAGGAATTTAAAAATGTTCTTGGATTTCAACAATATTTTCTCTACTACCTTAAAAAAACTTAAGGTTCCCTCTCCCGTATTACGTCGTCCCACCCTTCGTCATCCCTTACGATATCCCACCTCTCCACCGATTACCTCCCGCTCCACTGGTTTCCTCCCCGGTTTTTTATTTACAATAATTTTCTTCTGATCGGAAAACCAAACCTTTTGGTAACACAATCAATTCACCCTGTGGTAATCAATCTCTTCTTTGGTAACACATCACGCAATAAATTCACGTATAGTAATCTTTTGGTAACAGAATCAATTCACTTGCGGTAATCAATCTTATCTTTGGTAACACATCACGCAATAAATTCACGTATGGTAATCAATCCCGGGCCAGATCAGCATATCCTCTTCCTCGCTCGTTCTTCTTTCCTCGCCGCCGCTATCGATCTGTTTTTC